CGTTACAAGCGACTGCAGTAAACTGACATTGAAACTATTAAAAACCTTGTATTTATAGTTTTAACCTCAGTTATCGTAAGAATGGAGTTTGAAGCACAATCTATTAAATTGCCAGTCTACAATTTTGACACTCTTGTTTAAGATTGTAATAAGAAAACAGAAAATCATCATGGAAATTTATTGCCAAATAGTGTGAGAGCAATATTTTGTGGACCGTCAAATTGTGGAAAGACAAATGCTTTACTTGCTCTTTTAATACATCCCAATGGATTACGATTTGAAAATGTTTATGTGTACTCAAAATCGTTATATCAACCAAAATACAAATTTTTAGAAAACATTTTGCAACCAGTAGAGGGTGTTGGCTACTTTCCATTTAATGAACATATTGATGTTGTAGAACCAAACAATGCGTTACCAAACTCAATATTTATATTTGATGACGTAGCATGTGAAAAACAAGATAATATTAAGGCCTTTTTTGCTATGGGAAGACACAAAGCTGTGGATTGCTTTTATTTATGTCAGACATATGCGCGCATTCCAAAACATTTAATACGTGACAATGTTAATTTACTAGTTTTATTCAAACAAGATGAAATGAATCTTAGACATATTTATGATGATCATGTAAATACTGATATGACATTTATGGAATTTAAAAAACTTTGCAACTCTTGTTGGAAAAATAAGCATGATTTTATAGTGATTGATAAAGATCGTGATATCAATGAAGGCAGATATAGAAAATGTTTTGATTGTTTTATAAAATTAGAGAAATTATATTCTTTATAAACAGTTTCATTCAAGACATTGGTCAATCAACATGTCTTCTACACACTTGAAACATTTGCGAAAACAAAAAGATATTCTTGGTCAAATTGCAGAAGCCAGTGATGCTATTCGACGAAAGCATAGGCTGATGAAATTGGGCAAGGAAGAAATTGAACAGACTTTAAATAATACTTTTAAACCTATAGTGACACCAATTCAGAAATTAGTTGACGACATTGAAATTGTTAAACAAATTCGACCAGTAAAAATTGAAAGAGAGGGAGACCTTCCTTTAGAGTTTGAAGAAGATCAAGAAGTTAAGAGAGAGAATGATTCATTTTTAAGAGATGACTTATCATTTGCAACAGCTGCTGATGATGACGATAACGGTGATGATTATGATGATGATGATGGAGATGGAGATAAATCAGAGAAAGATGGTGCTATTTTATATCTTCAAATGTTGGATGAAAAGGAAAAAGATTTAGATCCTTCATATGGAGTTCGTAAATTATCTAAAGGGCAATTAATGATTGGTAATTCAGGAATAAATTTTGAACAAAATAATATTAGTGTAGGTAATAAAACATATCCTGCAACGAAAGGTTTACTTGAGCTTTTATTCAAAAAAGTTCCAGAAGAAGCTGTTTTAAGTGTAGTTGATCGGGAAAATTATAAAAATATTGTAATATCAACTAATGCTCATAAAAAATATTACAAAGCAGATGGCGCTGTTAGAGATAAAGAGTTTAAAATATCTAAACTATATAGCAGTCCATTCTGGTGAAGGTTTAATTCCAGAATATATGACTCAACAAGAAGATGCAAAAATTGATTATGTTTATTGGGATGATCCTAATAAATTTGTTGATCGTTTAAGATTGCTCTTGGCATCTCAAGCAGCTGGAAATCGCAGTCATAATAATGAGATTATATTAATTATTAAAGAGTTGAGAGAAGCTGGATTTGTTTATTAATTAACATTTGTAGAAATTTTTATCATTTTTACGATGAGTATCGACATATTCGGACGTCAGTTTAAAAGCACAGAAACTTGGTTTTAAGTTGACTGCTGAAGGAGATTTTAATATTAAAAATAAGAAACTTTGTAACGTAGCTGATGCCGAGAGCAACGGTGAGGCAGTAAACTTGAATATTGTAAACAAAGTTATTGAATCTAAAGCAAACGCCATCTATGATGTAATCGGTTCTGTGAGAAATGATGTAAATGACAATGTAGTAAAGATTTTAGATTTAGAAGATTTGGTAAAAAAAATATTTTGAAAATCTAAGAATCAGTATTGAAAGAAATATAGAGATGATGTCTACCAACAAAGACATTATTTTACAATTAGACAGCAGACTGCGCACACTTGAAGGTAATTAGCAATGGAGGATCAAAAACTACAGTTGGTGAAAGAGTTACATAAACCAGCGAGAAAAAATTATAAGCGAAGAAATGTTGATATTTGAGGTATTGACGAGACTTGGCAAGCTGATCTTGTTGAAATGCAACCTTATGCGAGAGAAAATAAAGGTTACAAGTACCTGTTAACCGTTATTGATACATTTTCAAAGTTTGCCTGGGCTGTTCCAGTAAAGCCCAAAAAGGTGAAGATGTGACTGCGGCAATCAAATCTATTTTAATTAAAAAACGCATACCGAAAAATTTGCAAGTAGATAAAGGAAAAGAGTTTTATAATTCACATTTCGAAAATCTCATTAAAAATTATAACATTAACTTGTATTCTACTCATAGTAATTTGAAAGCGTCAATTTGTGAACGATTTAATCGTACTTTAAAAAATAAAATGTGGATGCAATTTAGTTTACGCGGTAATTACAAATGGATAGATATATTAAGTGATTTAGTAAATGCGTATAATAATAGTAAACATCAAACAATAAAAATGAAACCAATAGATGTAAATGCTGAAAATGAAAATAATTTGTTGTTTAATGTATTTAAAAAAGTTTTAGTAAACAGGCAATATAACAAATTTAAAGTTGGAGATAGAGTACGTATAAGTAAAGTTAAACATGTTTTTGAGAAAGGTTATACACCAAATTGGACTACAGAAATATTTACTATAAGCGATGTAAAAAATACTAATCCAATAACATATCAGGATATTTTGAAGGATTATCAGGAAAATCTAATAAGTGGATGTTTTTACGAGCAAGAACTTTCTAAAGTTAAATATCCAGATGTATATTTAGTTGAAAAAGTATTAAAAAACGAGGATCTAATGTATTTGTAAAATGGTTAGGTTTTGATAATTCTCATAACAGTTGGATAAACGAATCTGAATTATAATGTATTTAAGAAAGGTTAAATTAAAAATAAATTGAATTGTATGCATTTTTGTATTTATTTATCCTCTCTTTACAATAATTTGCCATTTACACATTGAATATTTGACAGTAGATGAATAGCTTCATTTGATATTTGTTTCCAGTGAAATGTGACAAGTTCTAACAATAATATCTCTAAATTTAAAACATTAGTTCTTCCCATCACTTTTTGAAGTATTCTACTGTAATGTTTTTTAATAAATTCCGTGGCATGTTTTGTAGAGTTTACATTATTTTTAAAGATTAATTCTGAAATAGACTTTACAATTATATCTTTACTATACTGCAAATTGAATTTTAATAGTTCTACATATTTTTGTTCGACGCAAGGAATAAGTTCATTAAAAATTGCAAATGACGTTTCACTAAATGTAAATAATTGATCTAAACGCTCAATTGATATTAAACGATATGTAACACTAAAACGTATTGTAAACGTTTCACAATCCAGCACTGATGCATCACAATCTCCGTTGAAAAATCGCATTATATGTTTTACTGCATCAACCAATAGGCGCCATTCTTGAAGCTCCAAAGACAATAATACTCGTGGATGGCTGCTTCTTAGTTGAATTTTAGGTATTATATTTTCATTTATGTCTAGTTCTGCTCCAACGACAACTTGTTTTGTAAATGATGAATTCAAGTTGTAAATTTTTGATAATAACATTTCTCCACATGGTAAATTTGACATTTTATGTCTTCTACTGGTCAACTCCCTCAGGAACAAACTCTATCTGATTGTAAAGTCCTCCATGATTTCTTAAATATACACCACCTCTGACAGCTTCAGCTTTTAGACTGTTGAAAAGATTTGCATCCTCTTTAAATATTTTTAGCATTCTTAGTGCTAGGAAAATGTTAAATTCATTATTTATTTCAGCAACAATTTTCGGACCAACTTTCGTATCAATTTTTCGAATGTCTGTTACTTTATAAAATGCATCGATGATTAACTCCTTTGTTGTTTTCGTGACAAAGACTTTGCTTGCTTTGTTTAACTTATCGAAATTCATTTTTATGACTTAAATTTAAATTTTCAAATTTTTTTATTAAAATATTTAACTGTGACCTTGCTTCAATTAAACTTTTAACTTTATATATTTCTTGAATTAATTTGTTCAAGCGAACTTGAATTTCACGACGTTGTTCTGCTAATATGTTCATTAACCAACTTAAACTGCAGAAATGATTTCGTTTATAAAAATTGCCCTCTTTATATACATGAGATATGACCTATTTGACCTTCAAGTTAATTATAGATTTCTTGGAATTTCGGTAAGATCAAAAGCATTCTTATGAAAAGAACCGAAAATGTTTGTAAAAATTCCTTAGATAAGAATCTAATAAACACTGATTTGCCATATTTAGACGAAAATAATAATTCCAAGAATAAAATAAGTAAAAAACAAAAACAGGAAATACGAATGATAATGAGTCATCAATAAAAAATTCCAAAATTCTGAGTCATCAACCCCATTTTGCGAAAAACAAAGAATGCACCCTGTAAAAAACGAAAACAAGAAATACCAATGATAATGAGTCATCAACCCCATTTTGCGAAAAACAAAGAAATTATGTGTCATCGTTAAAGAATGCACCCTGCAAAAAACAAAAACAGGAAATACCAATGATAATGAGTCATCAACTTTATTTTGCGAAAAACAAAGAAATTATGTGTCATCGTTAAAGAATGCACCCTGTAAAAAACAAAAACGGGAAATTCCAATAAAAAATTCCAAAATTCTAAGTCATCAACCCCTATGGAAAATTCTAGGATTGTTTTATAATTCCAAGAAATTAGATAAATTCCAAGAATCACATTTGCATCATGATCTCAATATCCCCCCCCCCGAATAATTATAGGAAGTATGACGTCATATCCGGCTCAGCATCATAATCTGAATCGCACCTCCAAAATGGTTTGAGTCTGGGCTAAGTGGTTTGAGTCTTAGGTAAAAGTGTCGGTAACATGTCGGTGCAAGGATCTCTAGATAGAACCCTCTCTGTATATCTACTGTGTTAAAATACAGGTCGAGTTCGTTAGCCAGCCATTTTCGTCGAAAACTACGCAAACTACAGTAGTTTCAAAATTTTAAAAATTCAATTTTTTCAAATTTTATTATTTTTAACTTTATATTACTTTAGATTAGACACATACAAACAACTTTTCTCTACAACATTTTTTCATAGAAAGTCAAATTTCGAAGTTATAGGCTCTTAAATAGTAAAAAAATACTCAAAAATCCTAAAATAACGCTAAAAATCAAAATTTCTCAAAGAGAAAAAAATTATTACATTAATTTCCACATATTCTTACCCCATTGTACTCAAAAAATGCTCACATTAACCAAAAACTAGTAATTTCCGGAAAAACCACCGTATATATATATTTTTTATCATTTTTTTAACAAAAAATCCATATTCCGACTCAATTATCTCCAAAACTATTGCCTATGGGAGCTTGCTACCACAGACTTTTTTTCTCGTCTTACCATCAGCTACAACTTTGCTGTTGACAACTTTTCACTGAACCTAAAACTTTTTGACTTATTTGCAAAAAAGTAATTTTTTTATTACATTCTCATCATATGAGAAAGTATTAGTTTTGGTCGAGAATGGACTTTCGCTAATTTCATGAAATCTCGACGTTTTGGGGTCCCCTGAGTCCGAAAAACATGGTCTAAAAAAAGTGTCTGTCCGTATGTCTGCCTTCGTGTCTGTCTGTAGACACAATGGTGTCCCTACGATAACTCTTGAAAAACTTATTGCATCAACTTGCAACTTTGCATGCACAAAGTTAGTGTTAAAATACAGGTCGAGTTCGTTAGCCAGTCATTTTCGTCGAAAACTACGCAAACTACAGTAGTTTCAAAATTTTAAAAATTCAATTTTTTCAAATTTCATTATTTTTAACTTTATATTACTTTAGATTAGACAAATACAAACAACTTTTCTCTACAACATTTTTTCATAGAAAGTCAAATTTCGAAGTTATAGGCTCTTAAATAGTAAAAAAATACTCAAAAATCCTAAAATAACGCTAAAAATCAAAATTTCTCAAAGAGAAAAAAATTATTACATTAATTTCCACATATTCTCACCCCATTGTACTCAAAAAATGCTCACATTAACCAAAAACTAGTAATTTCCGGAAAAACCACCGTATATATATATTTTTTATCATTTTTTTAACAAAAAATCCATATTCCGACTTAATTATCTCCAAAACTATTGCCTATGGGAGCTTGCTACCACAAACTTTTTTCTCGTCTTACCATCAGCTACAACTTTGCTGTTGACAACTTTTCACTGAACTTAAAACTTTTTGACTTATTTCCAAAGAACTAATTTTTTATTACATTCTCATCATATGAGAAAGTATTAGTTTTGGTCGAAAATTAACTTTCGCTAATTTTATGAAATCTCGACGTTTTGGGGTCCCCTGAGTCCGAAAAACATGGTCTAAAAAAAGTGTCTGTCCGTATGTCTGCCTTCGTGTCTGTCTGTAGACACAATGGTGTCCCTACGATAACTCTTGAAAAACTTATTGCATCAACTTGCAACTTTGCATGCACAAAGTTAGTGTTAAAATACAGGTCGAGTTCGTTAGCCAGTCATTTTCGTCGAAAACTACGCAAACTACAGTAGTTTCAAAATTTTAAAAATTCAATTTTTTTTAATTTTATTATTTTTAACATTATAATACTTTAGATTAGACAAATATAAACAACTTTTCTTTACAACATTTTTTCATAGAAAGTCAAATTTCGAAGTTATAGGCTCTTAAATAGTAAAAAATACTCAAAAATTCTAAAATAACGCTAAAAATCAAAATTTCTCAAAGAGAAAAAAATTATTACATTAATTTCCACATATTCTCACCCCAATGTACTCAAAAAATGCTCACATTAACCAAAAACTAGTAATTTCCGGAAAAACCACCGTATATATATATTTTTTATCATTTTTTTAACAAAAAATCCATATTCCGACTCAATTATCTCCAAAACTATTGCCTATGGGAGCTTGCTACCACAGACTTTTTTTCTCGTCTTACCATCAGCTACAACTTTGCTGTTGACAACTTTTCACTGAACTTAAAACTTTTTGACTTATTTCCAAAGAACTAATTTTTTATTACATTCTCATCATATGAGAAAGTATTAGTTTTGGTCGAAAATTGACTTTCGCTAATTTTATGAAATCTCGACGTTTTGGGGTCCCCTGAGTCCGAAAAACATGGTCTAAAAAAAGTGTCTGTCCGTATGTCTGTCTTCGTGTCTGTCTGTAGACACAATGGTGTCCCTACGATAACTCTTGAAAAACTTATTGCATCAACTTGCAACTTTGCATGCACAAAGTTAGTGTTAAAATACAGGTCGAGTTCGTTAGCCAGCCATTTTTGTCGAAAACTACGCAAACTACAGTAGTTTCAAAATTTTAAAAATTCAATTTTTTCAAATTTCATTATTTTTAACTTTATATTACTTCAGATTAGAAAAAAAACAAACAAATTTTCTCTACAACATTTTTTCATAGAAAATTAATTTTTTTTTAAGTTTTTGGGTCAGGCTAGCTTAACTGGGTTAAAAAATTTTTATTGATTTTCTAAAATGTTATAACTAAAATATATTCATAAAGGTTTTAACATTTTAGAAAATCAATGAAATTTTTTTAATGCAGTTTGTCTGGTCTGACCCTTTTTTACATTTTAATTTTTGGTCCTATCTTGTTGGAAATGGTTTTTTACATTCTAATCACATGAGGAGGTATTAGATTTGATGAAAAATTGACTTTTTATACCTCAGGTTGAATGAAAATGGCGACCTTTTTTTCTCATGGGCAAAAAAACAGCTAGTCCCATGCGTTATTTTTGCTCATGGAAAAAAAATGCCGCCATTTTCATAGAAGTCGAACAAGTGAATGAGTTTTACTCCCTGTCGTCTGCTATCTTAAATCGCCACTTTTGTGCCTTTGGAATAAAAAATATCGTAAGTTACACGGGACTTAAAGGCTACCTTCACGGTACCTTGTTGCTTAATATACTATTTGCTAATTTTATGAAATCTTTGCGTTTTGAGGTGCTCTGAATCCAAGAAACATGGTCTGTCGATTACGTCTGTCTGTAGGTCTGTCTGTCTGTCTGTCCGACGATAACTTTTGAAAAACTTAATTTTTTTAAAAACTTTTTTCGAATTTTTGACTTTTTGTCTCAGCTTAGTGGAGGTGTTTTACTTTTGCTTGTTAAAACGATGGGTAAATATCACATTCACTGTATCCGGATTTACATGTTTTTAATCATACACTTGATATATATTTAGGGTAATGTCACCTTGAGTGGACCGCCTAAGCTTTTTTTCGAAAAAATTCTTTATGAAAGCAAATTAATCGGAGGTTTCTATTCCATGCATTAGTTTAGATCCCTAGGTAAGTGTTTACACCATAATAGCTTTGTTTTATTTTTATTTGGAAAAAACAATTGACTTTAAAAAAATAGCTAATTTTTAAGGAATGAAAAAAGTGTAACCTTGAGTGGACCACTCCTAAAAAAAATTTAATATTTCTGATATATTAAAACAAAATTTATGCTTATGCAGCTTCAGACTATGATTGTGTCGCAATGTTTACAAGTGAAACCACTTTTAATAATTTTGGCACATATCACATCAATATCACAAAAAAATTAATAAAGAACATAAAACATAGTTTCAAACCAATTTATTGTCAATTTATTTCCTTAAAAATGGTAAACTGACATTAAAAATATAAAAAAACAGGCAGTCCTCTCATGGTTATAAACAGTGGTCCACTCATAGTGAAATACAACTTTTTATGGCAGCCACCACAATGTTTTTTGAGTCAAAATTATCACTTAATTAAACTAAGACAATTAATTGCAATGTCCAAAGTAGTAGGAAAAAAATAAGTTACCTTTTAAAACTTAAATTTTACACTACTTTTACACTTCTAAATCACTTTACTCATTGTAAGAGCGACTTCTTTTTTGGTTTGTATTCTTAAAAATGCGTTACATTAAACAATAACGTACATGTTTATCGCGGAACTTAATTTCTTACGGTTTCTAGGTGCGGTGCTGCTATTCGTTTTATTTATTTCATGTTTCCGCTGTCAGATAACTTAAAAACTCAGGTGGTCTACTCAAAGTGGCGGTCCACTCAATGTGACATTACCCTACAAATCACGTATATAGGGGAAACGGGACATAATGGCTAAGGGGCGTAATGAATAATTGTAATTTATTTAAAAATCGTAAATCGAAATGATTTCACTCCAAAGACAACTTGATGTACTGCAAGTTTCTACAAAGTTTGATTATTTATTATTCAATCACTATTGTAAGAAATATAGTAGAAAAACTGTATTTCACATATGAAAGTAACTTTTCAAAATTTTCATTTTTTCGTTCTAATTTTTTTAAAATAACTTAAAAAAAGAAACTAAAATCGCGTTTTAAGCTTGAAACATTTTTTGAGGGTCAATTTTAGATTTTTGATTCACACTTACTGTATTGATAAAAATTACAAAATATTTCCTAAGTACCCCTAGGGCGTGTTGGCTAATGCAACACGCTATGTATAACCCGTGTAGAAATTTACCGTGGAAGTGTATGAGAAACTGTCCAGTTGCGCTAGATTCAATCTAGCAACTAGATGGGAAAAATGGACAGGCTTGAACGAGGGATGTAACGCTAGCAACGTCAAGATTTTGTACAGTTATTTTGTCTAGTCCTTGTCTAGTAAAATAAATCATTCTTAGCCAGTTCCTGGATATTAAAATAAGCAGTTTCTACATACTGGGAATAATTGTTAGGTTTATAAATAATAGAACAATATTTTTTAACTTTACTCTTTTGTTTGTTTAACTTTTAAACAAACAAAACAGTAATACAAAAGTATTT